GTTCATACGACTCGGCGAGTCCAAGGCAATCTTCTTGGGGATCAAGAACAACTCGTCGAGTCTGTTCATCCGACTCGGCGAGTCGGATGAAGATCATCTGAGTTCTTGGATCCAGAGGGTACTCGTCGAGTCGATGCCACACTCGACGAGTATCAGCGTGTAAGAGTTGAGCGGAGAGTCTAGGACTCGGCGAGTTGGGTATCCCGACTCGGCGAGTCAGCCCTGAGTAAGTTGACTTTGACCAAGGGTAAAAGAGTCATTTTACCCTGAGTGTAGTGTTAGTGATTGATTGAGTGTGTTTATGGATTTGTAGCCGAGGAGATTCAGGAGCAGCAGCCGTTAGCTTTCCGAGCCACACACTCATCCGCTAGCTTACGAGGTGAGTTTCCTTCCAGTAGGGACGGGTCTAAGGCCACAATGCCGGCCCGTCCAGTTAGAGTAGTTTCCGGACTTCGGTCCGATGTAGTAGTTAGTATGTTTGATGCCTTCGTGGTTCAGACATATTCATTGCTATGTGTTATGTGTTTATGTTCCGGGCTACGGCCCGATGCAGTATGCAGTATGTTTGTTATGATATGCTATGCTATGCTCAGCCAGTTCCGGACCTCGGTCCGATGCAGGGGACACGGTCCCAGTCAGTTCCGGACTTCGGTCCGATGCAGTCAGTTCCGGACTTCGGTCCGATGCAGTTAGTTCCGGACTCCGGTCCGATGCAGTCAGTTCCGGACTTCGGTCCGATGCAGTCAGTTCCGGACTCCGGTCCGATGCAGTTAGTTCCGGACTTTGGTCCGATGCAGGGGACAAGGTCCCAGTCAGTTCCGGACTTCGGTCCGATGCAGATTCCGGGCCCCGGCCCGATGCAGTGGGCAAGGCCCAATATGTGTTTATATGTTTTGTATGGTATGTGGTATTTTGGGGGAGCTCACTAAGCTTCGTGCTTACAGTTTCAGTTTTGGTTTCAGGTACTTCCGCAAGCAAAGGGAAGAGCTCTGGGTGACGGCATCGCACACACCACCGCTTCAGCTTAGTCTGGATTTGATTTAGTTATTGTTTTCGATGTAGTATGATGCAGTTTCCGCACAGTACTTTATTATATTTTTGGGACATATCACGCGTGGTTTATTTATATGATACTCTGATTATATTTTTGGTGGTATTACAAACAAAAATTTCCGGGTCGTATTTTGGGTCGTTTCAGAGAGAGAGAGAGAGAGAGAGATTGACCTTGAGATGGAAAGGAAGAGGAAGCCGGAGGCGGCTTCAGGTACAGGGAGTTCGGGAAAAAGGCCCAAGGTTTCAGATCACAGATCTAGGAGTTACCAGAGCCACGGTCGGTGTGGCAAGTGTGGGAGATTGCACGATGGGGAGTGCAAGGCAGGGAGTGTCGGCTGCTATAAGTGCGGCCGGACTGGGCATATGAGAAGAGATTGTACAACCACTACTACCACCATTGCGTCATCAGATCTGATTTGCTTTCGGTGGAATCAGTGGGGAAATAAATAGTCCCAGTGTCCGAGCTCAGCTGCTGCAGGAAAGGTGTGAGCACTTGCCCCTGCTACTTTGAAGATTACAGATGGCCGTCGGGGCCGAGTTGAGACGCCGATGGCAAAGAGTAGGGATTTTCAGTTAACAACAGAGGAGCGTAAGTGACTCCTGACGTGGTGATGGGTATGTATTTTTCCTTATCTCTACATTTATTATTGATTGTTTCTTATGGTTATATGTTTTGTATAGGGTCGTTCTCAGTGAACGGCATATCAACCACAGTATTATTTGATTCGGGGGCTACCCGATCCTTCATCTCTCTTGCACTTAGCAAGAGGTTTAACAGAGCTCCAGGGGAGCTAGATTGTCCACTTGAGGTTGAGATAGCAGCTGACAGGACCGTTAGGGTTGCAAAAGTACACAGATGATGTTCCCTTCAGTTATTCGATGAGCAGTTTCCGGTAGACTTGGTCCCTATTCCCCTGCGAGGGAATAAGGTCATAGTAGGCATGGATTAGATGAGCCCCAATGGGGCGGTGATAGATTGCAAGCTACAGTTAGTGAGGGTTCGCACTCCCAGTGGGGGAGAGTTAGTGATTCAGGGCGAGAAGCCACAGCGTGGACCAGTTCTGTGTTCAGCAGTGAGAGTGAGGCGCTATTTCCAGAAAGGTTGCGCCGGTTATATTGCCTATGTTTTAGAAGCCCAGGAGAAGGGAAAAACGATGGTTGATGATGTTCCAGTAGTGCGAGACTACCCATATGTATTTCCAGAGGATTTTCCTGGAATACGTCCCGAGAGAATGGTCGAGTTCAGGATTGACCTGATCCCTGGTGCGGCTCCAATAGCCAAGGCACCGTATCGGTTGGCTCCCCCAGAGATGCAGGAGTTGTCTACGTAGCTACAAGAGTTGCTAGACAAGGGTTTTATCAGGCCGAGCAGTTCACCCTGGGGAGCACAAATTTTGTTCATGAAGAAGATGGACGGGTCACACCGTATGTGTATAGATTACCTGGAGTTAAATAAGGTAACGGTGAAGAACCGTTACCCACTCCCGAGGATAGATGACTTGTTTGATCAGCTTCAGGGAGCATCTTGGTTCTCCAAGATTGATTTGCGCTCCGTATATCATCAGATGCGGGTTAGGGATGAGGACGTGCAGAAGACTGCTTTCTAAACCCGGTATGGTCATTATGAGTTTATGGTGATGTTGTTTGGGCTCACCAACACTCTAGCCACGTTCATGGACCTCATGAACCGCGTATGTAGGCCGATGCTGGATCGGTCTATGATAGTATTCATAGACGACATCTTGGTTTATTCCAAGACGCGGGAGCAGCATGAGGAGCACCTGAGGGAGGTGCTAGAGACCTTGAGGAGGGAGAGGCTTTTCGCGAAGTTCTCCAAGTGCGAGGTGCAGTTCCTTGGGCATCTCGTCAACCAGAAGGGTATACTGGTAGATCCGGCTAAGATAGAGGCCATGATGTAGTGGGAGGTCCCGAAGTCTCCATTCGAGATTCGGAGCTTCCTAGGTTTGGCAGAGTACTACAGGAGATTCATCCAGGATTTCTCCAAGATAGTTGTACCGCTCACCCGACTGACTAAGAAGTCGGTGGTGTTTTGTTGGGGGCCTGAGCAGCAGGCAGCATTCGAGACCCTCAGACAGAGATTGTGTGAGGCACCGGTTCTTACCCTGCCAGAGGGAGTAAAGGATTTCATAGTCTACTGTGATGCTTCGATCACAGGTATGGGAGCAGTGTTGATGCAGCAAGGCCGTGTGATAGCTTACGCCTCGAGACAGTTGAAGCCTCTCGAGGCAAACTATCCTACGCATGATTTAGAGATGGGGGCAGTGGTGTTTGCCCTCAAGATTTGGAGACATTACCTTTATGGGGTCCGTTGTACCATCTACACGGATCACAAGAGCTTGAGATACCTCATGGATCCGCCGAATCTTAACATGAGGCAGCGACGATGGTTAGATGTGGTGAAGGATTATGATTGTGAGATCCTTTATCATCCAGGGAAGGCCAATGTGGTGGCCGACGCCCTGAGCCGCAAGGAGGCAGCAGCCACGATCAGGGATATATGTCTGAGGATGACAGTGATTACTCCATTATTGGAGCAGATCAGAGAGGCACAGGTTGAGGGCCTCAAGAGGAGAGGCAGAAGTGTGATAGGATCGTGGGCTGAGTATCTTCCTTTGACTATGACAGTCGAGGTTTGTGGACCCTTCATGGGAGAGTTTGGGTACCGTACTGGGGCGGAGTACGATAAGTGCTGATGGATGAGGGTTATAAGTCTCGATTTTCCATCCATCTAAGGGTGACGTAGGGGTGAGCATTTGGACCGAACCGGACCGGACCGGACCGGACCGGCTCTTGGACCGGACCGGTTAGGGAGAAAATCGTGGACCATGGACCGGACCAGATGCACCGTGTCCGTGTCCGTGTCCGTGTCCGTGTCCGGGTCCGGGTTTTCCGGTTTTTGGACACGTTTGGACCGGTACCATTTTAGTTGCGTAAAATTTAAGTAATCTACATTGATGTAAAATATTATAACTTGCAAACTTAATTTTCCAAATAAAAACAACTAACATATATTTCAAGTTCACCAACAAAAGTTAACAATTTAAACACAAACATACAAAAATAATACCATAGCAACAAAAAACATAGTTTAAAGTTTAAACTTTAAAAGCAATCAAAACAACAAAATTCATAAACTCGTAATCTAATCTTCCATTGGCTTCTTCCCCTTATCATTGTCATCAATATGTAATATATTTAAAGCTTGTGCAATCTCTACATAAACACAAATGAAAATGTTGTTAGTATTTAATAAAAAGTAATATTGTATAAAAAAAGAACAAAGCTTGTAATTTTTTTTACCCAAAGCTATGTCATCATCGTTCAAGATGTCATCAACGTTGTCAATTATCGGATTTGTAGTTTTTCTCACCCAATCTTGGGTGCATAACAAAGCTTCAACTATCAACGTCGATAAACTAGTCCGATACTCACTTACAACTCTACCACATGTGCTAAACGCGGACTCGGACGCTACACTTGAGATTTGTATCGCCAATATATCTAACAACAAAGAATTAAATTGTAATAACATTAATTTATAAATAAATTATGAAAGTATAAAAAAAAGTAATCACCTTTCGCCATCCGAGCAATTGTTGGGAACCTAATTGCGTTTACTCTCCACCACCCGAGAATTGAGAAATCTTTTTTATAATTAACTATATTCTCTTTCAAATAAGTTCGTAACTCGTTATCCGTTGGATCCGAGTTGCTACCTCCCGTACAAAGAAAATCACCGAAAAAATCATTATCATCATCAACATCAATGGCTATTTGACTCGCTTCTTGTTGAGATGATCCACCGCTGTCAAATCGTTCCAAGTAGGTCATAAATAAATTTTCCATCCTATTCTCAACCTCTCGGACCATTTGACGTGCTTTTATGTCTATGCTCGCGGGGGTCAATGATGGTTCCATGTACCCGATCATTTTTTTAAAAGCATGTAACAAAAAAGGTGATTTGGTGGTAGGATCAAGTAAAACGCAAAGTACATAAAATCATTCATCTTGTTATATGCACCCCAATACTTTTCGTATTTCGTCCTCATATCTTTTACCATATCGAGAAACATTGGTTTGGTTGACCACTTTCTTAGATGTATGTCCACATCTAAGACTTCCCTGATAAAAATATTTACCAAAGGTTTTGATGTAGCCGAAACAAGCTCTGTTTTTGTTTTGAATTTTTCAAAGAATTTCACCATTTCGGTTACAACTTCAAAGTCATAATTTTCCGGTACTCTACCGAGATCCCTTTCATATGATTTATCTGTCAAAGATACATAAACAAACAAAATTATAGTCTAAACAAAATCTTAATAATTTTGCTGAAAAGATGATATATAACTTAAAAATAAATATTACCTCTTATGCCAAATTCCGTAAATGCCTCTCGTAACTCATATGCGGACTTCAATAACTCGAAAGTCGAGTTCCATCGGGTAGGAGTGTCACCACATAGAAACTTCTTCGTTTGTAAGCCACAATCTTTCATCGCCTTCTTGAACTTGTTTATTCTTTGTGGTGACAATCTAATGTACCGTACCGCCTTTTGGATACACTCAACATGATAGTTTTGGTATTTTAGTCCATCCTTTACGATAAGGTTTAAAATGTGAGCCATACACCTAACTTGGAAATGCTTTCCACCCTCGTAAAGATTGGGCAACTTTTTGACCAAAAAGTCCATTGCCTTGTCGTTTGTAGCGGCGTTGTCCAAGGTAATGGTCATGACATTTTTCATTCCCCATCCACGAATACAATCGAGTAATTCTCGGCCCATATCCTCTCCCTTATGGCTATCTATCTCCCTAAAGTTTATAATTCTCTTGTGCATCATCCAATTCTCATCTATGAAGTGAGCCGTGACCACCATGTAAGTAGTCCTTTGACAAGAAGACGTCCAAGTGTCCGTTGTCAAATGTATAGCGGTCTTTGGGTTACTTAAAAATTGAAGCATTTTGGTTCTTTCTTCTATGTAAAATTTGGAAACATTTCGGGATATTGTATGTCTAGATGGCAACACAACCTTAGCATTAAGTGCATTGGTGTATTCCACAAAAGCCTCGTTTTCAACGAACTTGAAAGGTAATTCGCCTACCACAAAAAGGTTAAGTAATGCTTTTTTGATCCTTGCATCATCGTGTTTCCATGTTTTAACACTAGTATCTCCATTTGACTCCTTTTTTAGATTCAATTTGGTTTGAGTTGGATCTTGTAGCTTATTCGGGTTTTTTGGACACCGATCTACGTGTTTGAGTAAACTAGAAGTCCCATTCCTTTCCACATCCGCCTTTAGTAGCCTTTCACACCATTGACATTTTCCATATCTTCTTTCCATACCATCATCTTCTTTTATCATAACTTTATCAAATGAGTCCCAACAAGAGGATGTTTCTTTGCCACTTGTTTTTTTTTTGTTACTTGTTTTCGTTTTGCTATTTGTTCTTTTTCGTTTGTTAACATTTGATTGATCATCTTTTGCCGAATCATCAACAAAATTGATTTGTGGTGTATCCTCAATAAATTCCTCTTCATCAACATTCGTATCCTACATTAACAAAAATCAACAAAAAAAATCATAACCCTAGTTTACATGCAATCAAAACACAAACTTTTTCACAATTAATCAACAAAATATAACGACATACTTTATAACTTTCAACAAATATTAACAAAATTCAACCAAAAAACATACCCTTACTTTACATACAATCACAATAAGTTTTTTTTACCAACAAATAACCTAAATATAACAACATACTTTATGACATTCAATCTACATTAACAAAAATCAACAAAAAAAATCATAACCCTAGTTTACATGCAATCAAAACACAAACTTTTTCACAATTAATCAACAAAATATAACGACATACTTTATAACTTTCAACAAATATTAACAAAATTCAACCAAAAAACATACCCTTACTTTACATACAATCACAATAAGTTTTTTTTACCAACAAATAACCTAAATATAACAACATACTTTATGACATTCAATCTACATTAACAAAAATCAACAAAAAAAATCATAACCCTAGTTTACATGCAATCAAAACACAAACTTTTTCACAATTAATCAACAAAATATAACGACATACTTTATAACTTTCAACAAATATTAACAAAATTCAACCAAAAAACATACCCTTACTTTACATACAATCACAATAAGTTTTTTTTACCAACAAATAACCTAAATATAACAACATACTTTATGACATTCAATCTACATTAACAAAAATCAACAAAAAAAATCATAACCCTAGTTTACATGCAATCAAAACACAAACTTTTCACAATTAATCAACAAAATATAACGACATACTTTATAACTTTCAACAAATATTAACAAAATTCAACCAAAAAACATACCCTTACTTTACATACAATCACAATAAGTTTTTTTTACCAACAAATAACCTAAATATAACAACATACTTTATGACATTCAATCTACATTAACAAAAATCAACAAAAAAAATCATAACCCTAGTTTACATGCAATCAAAACACAAACTTTTTCACAATTAATCAACAAAATATAGCAACATACTTTATAACTTTCAACAAATATTAACAAAATTCAACCAAAAAACATACCCTTAGTTTACATATAATAACAATAATTTTGTTTTGACAAGTATTCAACTAAATATAACAATATTGTTTGTTATTTCAACAAAATTTAACAAAAAAATAACCAAAAATCGTAACCCTTACTTGAATTTCATAATCATCAAGTGCAATCCAATTAGCTATCCCGGTTTTTGATTCCATTAATTGTGAATCGAGACTTGAGAGAAACCACACTTGAGAGTTGAGACTTGAGAGAAAAGAATTGAACGAGGATTGATGCTCGACTACTACACTTCGAACGAGAATTATCGGCCGACTAAGAACGAGGATTGATGCTCGACTACTCGACTTCGCACGAGGGTTATTTTGGATTGCAAATTATCGGCCGCTGCCGTATCACGTGTTATGGGATAAGGAACGATCGGTTTTGCAATTGTATAACTAGGCCAAAATATATATATATATATATTTTTTTTATACCATGTCCAACCGGTCCCGGACCCGGTAAAAACCGGACCGAACCGGGAAAAAAACCGGACCGAACCGGGCACAAACCTTAGAACCGAGAACCGGCCCGGAGGTCCAAAAAAACGGTCCGGTCCGGTCCGGTCCGGTCCGGTTCACCGGTCCGGTCCGGGTAACCGGTCCAAACGCTCACCCCTAGGGTGACGAAGATATATAGAGATCTTCGACCCTACTATTGTTGGCCCTGCATGAAGCGGGATATCGCCTGGTATGTGGAGAGGTGCCTGACCTGCAAGAAGGTCAAGGTAGAGCACCAGAGGCCCCACGACAAGATGCAGCCGTTAGACATTCCAGTGTGGAAATGGGAAGATATCACCATGGATTTCATCATTAAGCTTCCCAGGACCGCACGTGGAGTGGATTCGATTTGGGTTATTGTGGATCGGTTGACGAAGAGTGCTCATTTTATACCAATCCAGGAGAGCATATCGGGGGAAAAGCTAGCCAAAATTTATGTGCGAGAGGTTGTGGCACGGCATGGAGTGCCTGTTTCGGTGGTGTCAGACTGAGACGTCCGTTTTACTTCCAGATTCTGGAAGTGGTTTCACGAAGAGATGGGTACTCGTCTCCATTTCAGCACTGCTTTCCACCCTCAGACGGACGGGTAGAGCGAGAGGATGATCCAGACTCTCGAGGACATGCTTTGAGCATGTGTCCTAGACTTTGGTGGCAGTTGGGATACGTACCTTCCATTAGCGGAATTTTCGTATAACAATAGTTACCATGCGAGTATTGACCGCCCTCCTTTTGAGATGCTCTACGGGAGGAAGTGTAGGACCCCTATTTGTTGGGGCAAGGTCGGTCAGCGAGTCATCGGGAGCACCGAAGTGGTGCTCAAGACCACGGAGTTGATCCAGCAGGTTCGTAGTAGACTGTAGACTGCTCAGAGTCGGCAGAAGAGTTACGCCGACAGGAGGCGTTCAGACTTGGAGTTTCAGGTGGGCGACTTGGTCGTCCTGAAGGTATCACCTTGGAAGGGTGTCATCAGGTTTCGGAAGAGGGGCAAGCTGGGCCCCAGGTTCAACGGTCCTTTTAGGGTTTTGGCCCGGGTGGGTCGTGTTACTTATCGGTTGGATCTTCCGGCAGAGCTCCGCCAAATCCATAACACCTTCCATGTTTCCCAGTAACGGAAGTGTTTAGTGGATGAGTCAGGGGTTGTACCCTTAGAGGAAATTAAGGTTGATAGCAGCATGAATTACATTGAGAGACCAGTCGCGATTTTGGACCGGAAGACAAAAACCTTGAGGAACAAGGTAGTTCAGCTAGTGAAGGTGCAGTGGCAGCACCGGAAGGGTTCAGAGTCGACGTGGGAATCCGAGGATGAGATGTTTGAGCATTACCCGGAATTGTTTTCAGATTCAGTAGCAGCGGACTTCGAGGATGAAGTCTGATTCAAGTGGGGGAGATTTGTAACGATCGTCTTCCGAGGTAAAAAATTATTTAGATTCTCAAGTTTTATTTTGGGCTATAGTAGAATTGTATATGGGATTGGGCCTCTTTGTTTTGGGCCGAGACATAGTCTGCCCATAAGCCGTATGCGGGGCGTAAACCCATTGTACGCTGGGCGTAATGATTAAATGAAACGCGGGGAGGAGAAGCGTATGCGCAACGTACCATATGGTACGCCCGGCGTACGCGGCTAGAGGAAAAACCCTAATTTTAGGGGTTTAAGGCTATATAAACCCCATTATAGCCTCCTTCCCTGTTTTCTCATCAGCCTCCTCACTCTCAAGAAAACCTTAAGTCGTTCTTATCCTCTCTTTGTGTGTGAAGAAGCTTTTGTGAGTGTTTCAAGGAAAGGAAGTGGTGAAGAAGGAAGGGATGAAGTTGGAGAAGAAGCTTGAGTTTAGGGATCCGGATTTAGCACCCTCTTGGTCAGCAAAGGAAGGTATAAAGTTCTGAACTTTCTTCCTCTTTCCTTCTAGATCTAGGTTATGAAAGTTTGGACCTTTTTAAGTCCAAAGGTTGAGTCTTGATCCTGAAAGTCGGTTTTGGAGCTTGGATTGCCATCCTTAAGGCTCAGAAACATCTTCCTAGCAATAAATTTGCATTCTTTGTGGCTTATATGGAACCATGCATGAGATCTAGTTAGCTCCATAGAAGTAGAATGTTATTAATGGAAGTTTGAGCCTTTATGAGACTTGTAAGCCATCAAGTAAGCAACTTTATGGCTTAAGACGTGGAGCAAGCTTATGATCTAGATTTCTAGCTTCTGGATCAGATTATTAAGCATTTAATAAGATTTTGGCTTAACAGGGCTGTACGATGGGCATACAAGGAGGTACGCATCGTGTACAAGCCAGCAGCCAGTACGCTCAGTGTACCTTGGTGTACGCCCCGCGTACGCTGCCAGTTTAGGCTTTGAGTGTTTTGGGCCTCGGTGTGGGATGAGTTTTAGACTTAGGGTCTTTGGGCCTTAGTGGCCATCAAAATTCAGTTGCTTTGGGACCAAGGACTAGTATTGGGCTTGAGTAAGGCCTAATAAAAGGTTTTGGGCCCAATATAGAAAATTGGGCCATTAGTGGGCCTATAGTGGGGCCATTGATGGACTTAGAAGGAATTGAGGGTTTGGGCCATATTGTGACCCATGCCATAATAGGGGTAAAAGGGTCATTTTACCCATTGGAGAATCCCTATTCTGATTTAGTGTTTTATTTCCCATGATAGCTAGGAAGCAGCCGGAGTAGCAGTTAGGGATTTCTCATTCAGCATTTCAGCAGTCAGCATCACGAGTAGACCTGGCAATGGGGCGGGTTTGGAGCGAATCGACCTTAATCCAAAACCTTTTAACAAATTCCAAAACCCGATCCAAACCCGCTCCGTAACCCGCAGGGTTTTGAATAATCAAACCCATACCCTTATCCACCGAATCAGCAGATATCCAAACCCGCCCCATAACCCGCAGGTTTTTTGAATAATCAAACTAATTTTACTTAAATCATAAAATCACATTTGTTAAATAGAATGAATGTTGATTTAGAAAACAGATTATGTACTCGAAGAGTTTCGATTGGAATTAAAATCATTATTGTAGTTACTTCCGATTGGTTTTTGACCCTCGATTGCATTGACATAGAATAACAATTACAAACTTTCTTCCGATTGATAAATGAATTTATTGATTTATAAATGAAAATGGTGATTATACGATGAAATATAAATGAAATGACATCATGATTCTTGGGAGAAGACTGGAAGTCTAGAAGTTGAGTCCTCGAGTCCTATGTAAAACCAGTTTAGTCTTTGGACTTTCTATTTGAATTTAAAGTAAAACTTAGGAAATATAAAATATAAATGTATAATTCTAAAATTTATATGGGGCAGATTATAAATGGAGCGGATCGGTGATGATCCATACCCGACCCTTTTAATAAAAGGGTTAGTGGGTACGGGTCATTAACGGGTAAATGGATCAAAAACTATGCTCCAAACCCGTATAATTGTTAAGGGTTTGCATCAGGGTCAAAACCCGCTCCATTGCCACGTCTAATCACGAGGTGAGTTTCCTTCCAGTAGGGACGGGTCTACGGCCACAATGTCGGCCCGTTTAGTTAGCAGTAGTTCCGGATTTCAATTTGATGCAGTAGTTTAGGATGCTTGGTGTCTTTGGGATTCAAGCATGTCTATGTGTTATGTGTTCTGGGCTTCGATCCAATGTAGTATGCAGTATATGTGTTTATGTTAGTTGATATGTATGCTATGCTATGTTCAGCCAGTTCCGGACTTCGGTCCAATGCAGTTAGTTCCGGACTTAGGTCCGATGCAGTCAGTTCCAGACTTCAGTCCGATGCAGAGGGCAAGGCCCTGGTTAGTTCCGGACTTCGGTCCGATGCAGTTTCCGGACTTCTGTCCGATACAGTGGGCAAGGCCCAGGATGTGTTTATATGTTATTATATGGTATGTGGTAGTTTGGGGGAGCTCACTAAGCTTCGTGCTTACAGTTTTCAGTTTTGGTTTCAGGTACTTCCGCAAGTAAAGGGAAGAGCTCGGGATGATGGCATCGCACACACCACAACTTCGGTTTTATTCCTGGGAGTTTTTCTTAGTTATGATGTGATACAGTTCCAATACAGTTTGTGATACAACATTTTATTATGGATTGAAATATTTAACGTATGGGTTTTATATTATGACATTCAGTATATGATTTTAGTATTATTAAACAAAAATTTTTGGGACGTATTTTTGGGTCATTACAAGAGAATTCTGATTTCTCTAGCTAGAGGGGTGAAGAATCAGTGATAAATGACTAAGTGTCATATATATACTAGGGTGGGGTTTTTCGTCACCAAGACCGAAAACTCATGGTCTTGACCGAACACTCCTTTTTTAGGAGGTATATGGTTTGCTTAATGGCTAGAGTTTCAACTGATTCATCCTAACACTGATTCCTTTGATGTACTAGGTTTAGAATGCTCAAATATATTCCAAATAATGATGAAAGGTAGAAAAACGAGACTAACTCTGATAGATTTGTTTTACTGTACAAGATGAAATTTTTCGGGTTGTCACATCATCCCCCCGTTAGAGTGAATTTTGTCCCGAAATTAGAGTTTAAGCAAATAAGTAATTACAATTAACTAAGTAAAAATATGAGGATATTTTAGTTTCATTTGATCCTCACGCTCCCAAGTGAATTCAGGTCCTCGCTTGGCATTCCAGCGAACCTTCACTAT